ATTTACAAAAAAGAAAACTGGGTACTAATGGGAACTTCTGTAAGACTGAATTTTCAAACACTATTAGGAAGGGGTGGGACTCTAAATCTCCTCTATGGGGAAGATTTACTTTGAAATCTTCCCCCAAAAGATACTTTTTAAAATTCCAAATTATGAACCATTTCCAGAATAAGAACATTCAACGTTTAGAAATTGATTGTTCAACTGCTACCATTTCATGGCAATGAAAAGAATCCACACCTAAAAAGACTATGTCTCACCAATTTACCATAGTTTGAAAAAGTCTTTGACTTTTGAATAAACAAAATCTCCAGGGAGAAGGGGGCTAGAAAGAATTACAACTCTTGAAACAAAGAAAAACACACATAAGCTTTAAAACTTGGTGCATACACATGTGTGAGTAAGCACATATATGTGTAAAATCCTATGTTAAAGGGAAAGAAGCAGGTGATAAGGTTGGACCCTAATAGAATGTGTTAGTGTCAAACCCTAAGTCACAGACATAGATGGCTACTTTGGATAAAATGATTTAATTGACAGAAGAAAGGGAATTCTAATATATTAAAAAAAAAAAATGAGGCTAAAGCATAGCTTCTTGGATCTTAGCTGACCTGAATCTAACAGTTTTGTACACAAAAACAAAACATTACTGCTAAGACAAAATAATCAAGTGTAGAAAAAAATCAAGTGTTTTACTCTAATATCAGTACAGATAAAGACATGGACGATGCTTCAAACACTTGGGAATAACTTCTGAGTTTCACAATAATATAAGACAGTTAACCATAACAGAAGAATTAGCAGGTAAAGATATATGCACATGCACATACATATAAATCTTGAGGAGCATCAAGTTTGACAAGCACGAAAATCTTAATGACTCTTATTAAACTGAGCATATTCTGTTGTAAGGCAAGATGTTACAAAATCATCATAACGACCCTCTTTAAGGGTAGCAGAATTCTAATTCTCCTCTATATAACAGATGAAGAAACCAAGTTCTAGAAATATTGTTCACCCAATATCATATAATCAGAAAGCAACAAAGTCAGCCCTAAAACCTAAGTCTGCATGCCTATTATCCTTTCTCCTTTAGACTGAAGGCTCTGGTTTCCATTATGATCTGTGAACTTGTTGGAACACAGAGAGATGAATACGAAAATTTCCTTCCAAAAGAAATACCATGGTCTCAAAATTCCTTCCCTAGTAATTTCATCAAGTAACTAGTAAAGACTAACCAAGGAGAAGAGAAGATACTAAAGTGATCACCATGACAGACTTTTCATTTTTCCTCTGTAGGCAACTCCAAGAAATTACCTAAGAGACTTCATCTGCATAATAAGATAACTTTTATTCACAGTGAAGTTCTGCCCCTCAACTTCTCAATTTCTCCATTGAGCTCAGTGTAACTTTGTGTATGACCACCATAATTTGGGTTCATTCATTTTACCTAAAAATCACTTACTACCTCTCTAAAATTCTCTACCAGCCCTCCTTTACGAAGAGGGTATTTAAGCCTCAACCATCTGCCCCTTCTCTAAATTTCACCTTTGTGAGACTCTAAAGTCTATGCACATAATAAGTGTTATGGCTTTTCCTCCTATTAATCTATTTCCAGTCATTTCCGTTACCTTGAATTCAGAGAGAACAGAATGGAAGCCTTCCTTCTGCCCCTATAAAACTTTTAAACTGTTAAACCTGAGTTTCAAAAAAAAAAAAAACCTCTCCATTTTTCTAGGTATGCCAATTTACAAAAACTTTCTCACCCCATCAACAAGTGTTAAGATATCGTTAGATGACAGATGTATCCATATAAGTCCACCACTATCCGAAAAGGAGAAAGAAGGGGGGAACCCAGGTGTGACTTACTGGGTTTATTCATCAGACCAGGTAAAACTGCAGCAAAAGAGTCCCCAGGTTTTTAAGGCAGCTGATAAAATGGCAAACAGAGTAGCACTTATGGGCTCAACAACTAAGAACACTGGGAGACCATCCTTTCTTAAATACAAACTATGCACTCACAGGCAGCCCTGTCTTTCAGAAACAAAGTTCTTTGGGCCAAGTGCGTGAGTCAAATCTTAACCTGAAATAGTAAAAATTTCAAATGGAAAACTAAGCTCTTTCCCCTATGTGCTAGTCATCAATTGCTTGCCTTCAGCTCAAAAGTCACCCTGTTTGCCTGTAATAAGAAAATGGATCTGGGCTCCATAGTAAATATTTTAACATTTCAGCAGGAGCAATGTTAACCTTTGTCAGTAGAGGGCACTATACATATATTTTAAGAGCACAGAGTTTTGCTTTCCAGTTCCTTTGCAGTTCCTGCAACCAGATAGCTTTCCTAATTTTTGGCTTTTCCAGTGACCACTTCCTCTAGTAGGCACAGCCTCTTAAGTGCCATGTTGCAGGTACAGTGTACATCAAGCAGCAGTACCCAGCAGCCAGTAGTACCTCTGGTACTCTCTCAGGGAGTTTTGCTGCATAGTACATGTTCTAAGAAGCCTTCCTACAAACAGCAATTTCTCAGTACCCTAGAATGCAGAATTCTCACGAGTTCCAGAGGGTAGGATTTCAGTAAGTTCCACTGACATAGCACATTGTATGCAAAGTCACACTGTGCCCTCTGTAACAAGGTCCAGACATCTTAATGAGGGAAGCAATCTTTTACCTACTATCACCAATCCTCTGAAAAAAGAGGAACAAGGTTTGGTAGCCTTCTTTGCATTTTGGAGGCAATGTCTACTATATTTGAGTGTGCTGCCTTAACTGCCCCACAGAGCCACCTGGGAAGTTTCTAATTCTGAGTAAGGAACAGAATGAAAGATGGCTTTGCAGCAAGTTGAGGCTGCAGGCAAAGCTGCTCTATCACTTGAGATTTACAATCCAGCAGATCCAATGTTACCTGAATTGCCTTTGGTAAAGAGAGCTGCTGTAAGGAGCCTTTAGACCAGGGGTGTCCAACCTACAGCCTTCAGGTACTTGCTGATTTTGTAAGGACTTCTGTTTATCTGTGGTATTGGGAATGTATGCACAAACCCTTTTTTTTTTTTTTTTTTGCTAATTAGCTTTGCTTAGTGTTTGTGTACACTTAATGTGTGGTCGAAGACAACTCTTACTCTTCCAATGTGCAGCAGAGAAAAAAAGGTTGGACACTCCTGCTTTAGACAGTGTGTACCACAGCAGCTCTTGGCTCTAGGAAATTGGTACTGGAGAAGCAAGCTTTCCCCACCACTCTATAGGGAAAATTTCCAATAAATGTCAGACAAAGGATTTTCAGCAAGTCCTAGGTACAGTACCACAGTGACTTTTCTATCATTAGGAAAGGAACGCATTGCTTCATCGCTAGAGAGAAAAAGGTTTCTTATATCTACTATTCTTACATTCTTAAGAACTCTCTAATTCCCAATCCTTCATTATTCCAAACCCTTTTATACTTAGTAATCCTTTGTATTAAACTCTCCCTATTCCAATTAGTATACAGTTTTTCTCCTCTGATAAAACTCAAGACTAATATACCTAATTATACATTGGATGGTTCTGTTGGGCACTAAGAAAACCAATCCAAGACAAACACAACATTTCAACAATTGGTTTGTTTTCTCACGTTTTCAATATTTACAAGCCAAAATTATATAGGAATGATTTAGGCTAAGTTTAGGCATAATACTACATCCATGTCAAATTAATTTTGATACTACTTAATAGGATTATTTCAAGTATGGTTTGGCAAACTGTACATTCCTTCTCCAAACATTCTATATAGTCTCGACTAGAAGTAATTACCCCTAACTTATAATCATCACATTTGTCATGATTTTTAGTAATTCCTTATCTCTCCTATTATTGAAGCTCTAAAGACCTAAAATATGGAGGCCAAATTGAAAATAATTTTATAGAAATAACTTTCATTATCAAAAAGAGTAACTCAGGCTCGGCATCCATAGCTCAAGTGGCTAAGGCGCCAGCCACATACACCTAAGGGCCCGCCAGCCACATACACCAGCCCGGGCCCGCCAAACAACGATGGCTGCAACCAAAAAACAGCTGGGCGTTGTGGCTGGCGCCTGTGGTCCCAGCTACTTGGGAAGCTGAAGCAGGAGACCTTGCTTGAGCCCAGGAGCTGGAGGTTGCTGTGAGCAGTGATGCCACAG